AGGCACAGAGACTGGGGCTGCTTGCTTTGTCCGCGCCGGTGCGGCTCGGGGTGGGGGAGGGCGAGGGGGATGCGCAGAAAGTTCGCGTCCCTGCGGAATCGGGGCTCTTCCACGGGAACGCTGGTGAGGAGCCCCGGGAGTTCTGCAGCTCCCATACCGGTGCGGAGAGCCCGGCAGCGACCCGGGTTATTCTCCGGGGAGGGGGATTGTTTCTTTGAGAACTTCTGCTCTGGCATTTCCTAACTTGTTAGCTATTGGGCGGGCCTTTTATTAGAAATAATCTGTCACGTTGGCTGGTTAATCGTTAAATTCATAACGTTAACCGCTGCTGCAACATCTGAGCTTTTCACCTGCTTTTCGTCACGCTGCTTGTGATGAGAAGCGGGATTCTGGGCCTCGCAGCAGAAGGCAGGATTTAAACCCAGCGAGCAGGTTTCCCGCTGCAGCGGCATCGCGCAGGGATGCCAGCCAGCTCCAGCCTGCCAGCTTCGGCTGCCAGGGTGCCGGCGCTGGCACCCTGCTTCCCCGGACGGTGCCGGGATAACAGGTCCAAAGAGCTCTTGGGTGGGAACCGACACGTGGCGTGGGAAGCCAGCAGGCGTTGACGTGGGGCTCGCAGGTTGTTTCTCTGGGGAGGGGGGAAGGAAGGAAAGAAGAATCGGTGACAGTGACACTTGCCGGTGAACTGCACTTTCAGAAAGTTGGGGGAGAAAACACAAAGGAAAGAGGTGTTCAGGGAGTCCCTGATGCAGACTGTGCTCGTGGGACACAGAGGGTGAAACCAAACGGGTGCTTTCTGCTGCCTCTTCTGAACCTCTCTGGACTTTTTAATGAAAGCCCTCAAAGTAGCAATAATGAGGACTAAAGAAACGAGGTGTTTTCTAGTGCTGCTACTCGTTTCTCCGTGCTGCCGACTGAAACACAAGGCAGCATAACCAACACAGGTCCAGGACCTTGTTTTGGCGGGACGGGAGTTGACCCACACAGACTCACGCCATGCTGTGATATTTGCCCGCAGAGCCAGAGAACAGGATCTGGCCTACCGTAGTTACTACAACAGATGCAGCCTTAAGAGACTGTAACATAATTTTGGAAGTATACTGCCATCTTTTTGGGGGAGAGATGATTATTCTATCTTTTATACACATAAATACTGACAATTTTGGAATGGGTAGGTTTTTTACTTACAACTCTAAGGACAAATGGGGTTTGCAGGCTTTCATAAAGCCTCCTGATTTAAAATTCCTGGTTTGCAAGGTGCCAAACATCCTTGACTGTCATTCAATTGATCAAAACACTTAGCAACTGCTAGGACTGAGAGGTTTTTGTTGCGTGGGCCCTTCCCAGAGAAGCCTATGAAGTCCAGAATTAACAGAATCAACCACAAATGCTCCTGAAAAGATATTATTATTTTTTGCTTCAGGAACAAGTAGACAAAAATTACATTTAAAGGGAAATGGAAATAAAATTTATTAAATCTGAAGAAGTAAAACTAGATTATGTTCTAATGAAAAATTATTAATATTTTCATTATCTTTCTTACTTAAAAATATATATCAGCAGATTCTGGAGTTGAATGGGTCAGCTAAGTACTAATTGGAAATAGAAAATGTAGACAAATATATACATATATGTATGGCATATATGGAAATGCAAAGGTCTGCACCTGGGATGGAAGAATGTTGTACAACAGTAGAGGCTGGGGACTGACTGGGTAGACAGCATTTTGCAGACGACGACTTGAGTGGCCTCTCGGGCAAGAAGTTGCAGTCTGCAATGTGCCACTGTGGCAAAGAAGGCCAGCAGCATCCTGGGCTGTATTAGCAAGAGCATGGCCATCAGGTGGAGGGATGTAACTATTCCCCCTCTGTCCAACAAACCTTGGAATTTCGTGTACAGTTTGGGGTTCCTTAGTACAAGACACTGACATACTGGGGGAAGTCCAGTGGAAGGTCGTCAAGATGATGAGCAGACTGGCATATGATGTATAAGGAGAGGGAGAACAGAGTATTTCAATCTTAAAAAGAGTAGGTTAAGTGGAAAATGTTACTGCTGTCTCCCGCTACCTCAGCAGAGGGTGCAGAGGCTGGAGGCAAACTCTTCTTAGAGGTGCACGGCGATAGGACAAGATGCAATGAGTGCAAGTCACAACACCAGGTATTCCAGCTGGAAATTAGGAAATAAATAGTCACCTGGAGAGTGGTCAAACACCAAAATGGGTCCAGAGAAGCTGTGAAATCTCCATCCTTGGTGATGTTCAAAAGTCAGCTGGACAGCACTGTGAGTGACCTGATCTAACTCTGAAGTTGGCCCTTCTTTACTGGGGGTGGACCAGGCGATCTCCAGAGGTCCCTCCCAACCATGATCATACCACGATTCTGATTCTGCAATCTTGAAGCATGTGTGCTGAATGCACCAGATTCCGGAGGTGACTGAATGTTGTTATTTTTAAGGACAAAATGCTGTTTACTTTAGGCAGATTAGTAAGCCCATCGATTTCCTCAGAACTGTTGATATTTGTAAAGCAAGTGGAAGGCTGGGATCTGTAGCGAGCAGATAATGTTTGTGGAATGATCACATCTGTGGAAGTCTCTGAGCAGAGGATCTACACTGCAAAGCCAGGATTATCTCACATCCTCACTGGTGGAGCCAGAGGAATTCAAAGTGGCAGGACTTGCCTAGATTTAGCAGGGTTCCCTCCAGTAGAGGCGTTAAATGCTGCTTGCTACTAAATACCGTTTACTGGAGGTACCTTCCAATTCAAAACATGTAGCTGACAGCGGGAAGTTAGAATTCCCAGCATGATCAGTGCCACTGCTTACATGCACATCCAAGCAGCATCTGCCCTTGGGGACAGGGTGAATGGACTTATATTGTGAATCTGCATGCAGACCTTTCAAACCTCTGCATTTATAACTGGCAGAAAAGGGACAGGAGATGGCTGAGGAGGTGTTTTGCTGGGCATGCTTAGTGAATGAATGAGAATTTCAGTCTGCAGGGTAGGTGGAGCTGCTAGGTTAAACACAGATTAAAGGAAGACATACGCTCGCTGTATATATACACCAGCACCAGCCAGACTGCTCCGTAAGTGTGCATCCTGTCAAGGCAATTTCTAAAACTCAGGTAATCATCACTTAAATTTCATTGAACATTCATCAGGTCCAGCTCACACTTACTACATCCAGAGACGTGCTTTCTGAACACGCTTGCAGACCACCCGCTCCTCTCCTACAACGAGACATTCAGATGCACACACAGTTAAAATGCGTGGCCTGTGAGGTTGTTCGCACACCCTCAGAGCCCATCCACACTTCTGAGTCTCACTCCCGTCTTCCAAAACCAAGGTCTTCAGAGATGGGCAATATCTGCCCTGTGATAGACTCTCGTGATGTCCCACCTCTGGCTCGAGTGTCCCGTGGTGTGAGGAATATCGTTTTGGGAGCGGAGAGGGGCAATGCTGCACCAGAGCTCTTCACAGACACGCACCAACGTTTACGAAACTTTCATCTCTTTGTCTAATTCGTTCCATAAAAGCTGACTCAGGTCCAGGGTAGTAGCTCTAACTGGGAGGAAGACTGAGTGGTACCCTGGCTCTCCAGTGGTCCGTGAGTTAGAGCATGTATTTGGGGCATAGGCAATCAAGGTTCAAAGCATCCCAGCTCAGGCTACGGGCTTGAATCATGATGCCTCATATCCCATGTAAGCATTTAAATTGCCAAGTGACTGGCTATTCTGGGTAGCTATTTCTCAAGTTTCTTATGCTGAAGCTGTTTAATAATCACGTATTTACTAGAACATGGACTTACCTGAGATTTTCTAGCATCCCAGCCAAGTGCCACGGCAACGGGAAGATGGAGTCAGCCTTTCTCTCCCAGTAACATGTAATTACTTACTGCAAAGTGGAGCAATTCCTACTGACTGAGAAGCAGAGATTAATCCTGCCGTGTGTTAGTAGGGTGCTCAGCAGGACTGTGGGAGTACGTCGGAGCAGGAACAAGGAGGACCTACAGCTTTCCTTTAGGAATTGTCGCCAGCTGTACGACTTCAGTGACAGAACTGAAGTATTGTTTAATTCTGCAATAGGAACAAAGCAGAACAAGAACAAAAGCTGTTCAACAGAGCAGTCACTTTGTGTATCCGTCTTGCCTAGAGCATAGTCCTGTCTCATGTAGACTCCCCGGTGCGTGTCTCAGCCCTTGTGGCTCTTGAATGTGGCCACAATCTATTACACAGCCAGTCTGAAGGGAGGACGGACTCTGCTACTTCGCATTACTGTGTACGTCTCAGTAAATGGACTGCCAGGAGTGTTTATCTGTCTTCTGCCCAATGTGAACTAACTCCTGCTGGAATTAAACGCTTTGGTTTTGCATAGCAAAAAACATGTTCATGGTCAAAGGACCAGATGGAACATAATTTCGTAAAGTCTTAGGGCAACTCCCGCATCCTTCACTGCCGCAGTTAAAGTTGCACTCTGTGTAAATAAATGAAATGTAAATAAATTTATCCCTTCTTTCATACCTTAAGGGTCATTAATCAGCTGTGTAATTTCAGGGGAGTCAGCAGAGTTATGCAAGGTGTCATATTGGCTTTTACTCAAAGGTGCTTTGTAGTAGTAGTTATGACAGTAGCGCAATAACTTGGAACCAGCCTCAGCAGGTACTGCCCTCATAAGGCATCCAGTGTTTCCCTTCACTGCTCTGGTCGTAGCAAATACTTAGCACATGTTTACACCAGGATCTGTGATCTTCTTTACCTGCGGTCAGTCCCTGAGAAGTAAGCCTTTCTCTGGATTCTGATGGACTTGGTCTCTGCAGGTTGCTTACAAACCACAACAGCAAATTGTCCGTATTTCTGATTAAAAAAAAAAAAAGTTTAAAAATGTCAGAATGTATTGTGCTTCTGGGAGTACACAGTATCCTGCAGTTCTGTCAATCACCTAGAACAGCAGGCCTATAGAAAAATAATAAGAAACTGTGTGTGGGAAGACGAGGTAACTCTAACTTAATGCATGAGCTTTGGCAATCAAAGCTGCCAATGCAAACTGTCAGGACTCTGCCAGGGAGACAGATGGCACAATGACAGCAAATGGATGGGTCTCTAAAACTCAATTATCATTTCAGTTCAGACCCTTTTTCTGGATGCCAAGTTGTGGAAGAGATTTGTTTATCTTGAGCTTTATGCGTTTTGGCAGATGATTTGTATAGGTGTGAAGCTATAGGGAAGGCTGTGACAGCGGCAGGCCGAACACGGGGTTTTCTGTTGCGTTTTGTTTTCCAGGTTACCTTTCTGCCTCCTTGCAGGTGGCAGGTTTCTGAACCTTTATTTACAGAAATCCATCTGTGGTCTGGAAATGTTCTTTCAGAACTCCAGAGGCAAAACGTTTTAAGATCCATTTACCATGATAAGGAGAGAAACAACTCTAAACAGTTTTCCAGGCTAGCAGTTCTTCAGC